AAGTTCCTGGGGCTTTTCCTGCCCACCTGGCTAGTGCATCGGAGTTGAGTGTTGTCCAGAGCAGTCACAAGGGAACATTCTGGAATAGCTCCCGGAGGCCAATAACGTCGAATTGCGTCCATAATACCTTTAACCCGGGATTGTGATCTCGATTTTTAGCGCTACTCCACTTGCTGAGGTGGAGTACAGAAATTGTATTAAAGATAAAGAGCCTTTTAAATCGAAAAACGTTTTGGTCGTGTGGACGGAATCATTTTTTTTCAAATTAACTCTGCTAATTCCGAAATAACCGACTAGTGTAGACCAGGCCTTAGTGTACTTTAATAAAACCGGAGTAGATTAAAGTGCATTAGGGAGCTGCTAGTTTGCAGCAGTAGTGTCCACACAGACATGCTAGCGTGGGCTAGACTTGCACCCTAGTTTGTTGCAAACTAAATGTTCATTTAGACAAGCTTTAATAGCTGTCATACACATTGGGAACTTGGAACATAGTCTTTTTGTGAACAGGAGAACATATGATCTGTTTCTTTTAAAGCGCAAAATGATATTTCAGTTTGGAGGTATATAGGGCTGCCATGAGTCTCTAAGGTGCATTTAAAAAAAAAAAAGGCATTAAAATCTTAGTCATGATGGATGTGGCATTTGGCCAACAAATCTGCCAAGCTGTAGTACCACAGATCATGGTGTCGTGCTCCCATCTTTGAAGTGCCCTTTGGGTTTTGATGTGTACCTTTGCCTTAGCCAGAGAAACGAACAAAAGGTATAGATCTAGGTACCAAGCACAGCTGGTCTAGTCTTGCTTGCTTTGTCCTTGAATTTGCTGGGGCAGTACTACCTGGGGCACGAGAATTTCGTATCTAACTTGTTTTGATCGGTTTCCACCAATACATATGCTTGCCCTTCCGTTCAAAATTTTATTGCGGCTGTGTAATATGAATTTGTTTGCAAAAGAGTTCTTCTCACCAGTTCTTCTAATGTTTTCCGCCCCCCAACCCTGCTCAAGGCATTATGCTCTAAATCACCTGTATTGAGAAGAGCTGGTGAGAGGATTTGGAGGCTGCTCAAACTCTAGTTTCTTCTCTTTTTATTCTAGGGACAGCAGTGAGGCATCTGGACTGGCAGGAGGCCAGACTTGCCTGAGGCTTTGCAGGGGAATCAGGAAAGGGTAGAGAGCTCAGCACTCAGGTGGACCAACATAATATAGTACATTGTTTTCCAAACTCTTTAATGCTGAGCTCTCTTCAGGAAAATGAAATCAAATGCCTCTCCACTCTAACACTGTCATGAGTTGTCATTTTAGAGTTTTAATGAAACAACTCAAAAGCTTGCCCTTACATCATTCCTTAAAACAGAAGTTTGTTAATAAAATAACTTGTATTCAAAAATTTATTTAAACACTGAACTAGAATAGTACTTTTAAAGCTTACTGTAATATATTAATTTTTTTTTATAGTTGGCAACATGTTTGTTAGAGAAAAATTCTGCCCATGAGTTCTGAGATCCTCAGGCTTGGCTTCTTCTCGGTTGTGAGGGAGAGGGAGCAGGGAAAGAGAGATGGTATTAATACCAAGGGTCAAAAGAGTTAAAGGTATTATGAACTTTTACTGTCCAACATTAAAACAGTGATACAAAGTTTAGGGTTGTTTCTATAGGGACCGTGGTTCACTCGGTTTCTTGGCAAATACCCAAAAGCATTCATTCTAGAGTTGAAAGCTTACTGATCAAACATAAGAAATAAAAAGCATTTCTATTGAAACTGAAATTGAGTAATTATGCAAAAAAACCTTAACCTGTTGAAGTCTCTCTCTCCTTTTGGAGGCAAAAATCAGTCTGTTTCATTAACCTTTTTGATGAAAAGGAAGGTTGTAATTTTATTCTCAGTGCTGATGTGTAAAAGGTATTCACTTCTCCTGTTTCTAACAGGCACAAGGTAGAGGAGATACAAGCTAGAAAAGGTGGGGGGGAAATATGGCTTTTGTTGACTTGGAACCCTGGATGGCTGGCTAGTTACGAATGGATGCTTTGGTAGGCAAGGACACCATGACACCTGTTGCATGGACTAAGGTTTGCATTCTGATCAAGGGACATCATCTGGTTGGGTCCTTTTTTCCTTTGATGGGATGGGTTGTGGCTGATTCATCTCACTGTGCTGATGCAGTGCAGTTGATTTCAGGATTTGATGAAAAGCTGAGAGAGAAAGACGATAGGAGGAAGGAAATAGTGGGGCAGAAAGTAACACAACAGGAATGGGAGACAGGATCTTGTGTGACTGTGCTGTTGGCAATTAGGTATCCTTGTTGATTGGCCAAGGACTGGATGTCATGATTTTCAAGGCCTGATGACCTTCCTCTTGGGAAGAAAATCCTTTCATCAGCTCCTTCTCTCCTGGGATCAGGGAGGATGAGACCATGAGTTGGGAAGAGACAAGACCTGAGAAGCTAAGATGCATTGAAATGAGATGTTCTTTTCAAAGTCTCCTTTTAAGAACCCCAAAAAGGTGGTGGGAGAGGGAAAGTTGGTTGAATAGTTCATCATCTCATTATTTTGTCCACTAATAATCCTAATGTGTGACATACCAATTTTGCTTCATTAATTTCTGGTTCTGCATCTTTTCTTTCTACCAAGCATGATTTCAACACATACCTTGAATTATATCAGGAGGCCTTTTTGTTTAGACTAATTCAGTCTGTCTCCTTTTTGTACCTTTTTCCCCATCAACATTTGTTTATAGGTTAATGTAACATCTTATGAACTTTCAGATGCTTTTTACATTTGAGCTTATAATTAAGGTAAATTTTTGGGCTCAGTTATTACAACGGAGAATAAATAGTGGTATCTCCCAAGCGTACCTACTTGTGACACCTACTCTTGAGTGACTGCTCACTTTGGTATATCTTTTTCCTTTCTTAGATGCTTTAATGAGCAGTGAAATAGTTAAGTGTTGACACTTAAAGGCCTCATATTGCATCTGAGTTTGTGCCCTTGGAGACAACTAGGGTAGTTCACATCTGAGCCATTGGATAAGGCTCTCTAAAAGCTCAGGCAGACACAGCATCAGCTACACTGGGGTTATATTTTGAAGTTTTCTTCACACTAACAGCTAGAGATTTGCTCTTTTTAAAATGGAAGCTGAGACTGGAGGACAGCTGAGAAGCATGCTGCATCCTCCGCACACCCCCAGCCCTTTGTGCTCTCAGAGGCCATGCACCACACGGGGGGAAACAATGATCAAGTGAAATGCTCCAGCTTTCTTTAGCCCTGCTTGGAAAGGAGGGCCAGAGATGCTCATCCCAAGCCACTGGATCCGTTGGTTAGTTAATGTCTTTGGCCATAAATGCTTCCTTTACCTCCGAAGAGTTGCAGATAGTAAATGGGTACTGTAAGAGTTACATTCTCTACCATTCCTTGTTGATAACTCAGCGTTTTAAAAGTAGACTGACATTGGTCTAATTTAGTGACCCTCCATTTGTGCAAAAAGTATGGGTCAGGGAGGAGGGAAGAACAATTGTTAGAGCTGTGCAAACAACTGAATTTTTTTTTTCCAGTTTGCAGGGCAAAAAAAACCCCTTTTGCGTTGGATGATGCATCTTGGACCTGAAACAAACATTTTATTTCATTTGACTCTTAATTAAATTGAAGTAAATTTTGAAAGAAAACACTGCTTTGTATGACAAAAATAAAAATGTCCAAAATAAAATATCTGAATTTTGTTCATGGTTTTTTAACGAAAACAATTCAACGCAAACTTGCTAATGTTTTGGTTGATCCAAATATGCATTTTTTGCGCACACTGCCGCCTCTCCCCGCCCCCCCCCCCCCAAAAAGTCCAAATGTGTTTGTCCAGGTCTATCAACTGCACACCAAAAAGCAGAGTATAAATCCCCAGCAGGGGGAGCATGACTTAAGCATTGTTCCCACAACTGACTTGAAATAGTTGATGCTTATAACAAATTCATTGCATATTTGTGCCTGAGGGAGGGGAGAGGAAGGGATTGTGGAGGGTGAAATCCAGTCTTAAAATAGATCTCTGATAACTGAACTTAAGACAAATATCAAATATAGGGGGCTCGGAAGGAGCCCCAGCATGGCCCACAAGCAGTAGCTTGATAAGTCTAGCTTATACTTTTCTTGCTCCTCTTGAACCCTTTTGTGTTAGGGTAACAACTGGGGTTTGGGGTGAGATGGAGGGGTTGGAGATTGGTGTTGGTCTTTCATAGTAATACTGGGTAGGTTGGCAAACTTTAGCACCCTACCTGCAAGACTGAGTGAACTGCCTTATCTTTATCTCCCATGCAAGTCCTGAAGGGGTGTCAGGATGTCAAGTTGAAGGACCCCAGCTGGTGGTGGCAGTGAATAATGTTGTAACTGAATTCTGCAATATGAAAGCAGAACCTCCATCACTCACGTCTCCAACCATACAGTTGAATAACTCACATTTAATCAATAAGGGTGAAAACACCATTGTAGAAATCTGGGTAAAATCGTACTGGTTTAATGAGAAGACAGCTCTTGTCTAAAACAATGAAATTTCAGTAGTTTAAACACTTGTATGAATGTTTTCCATTTTGAGAAGTAAGTCAGTAAAGATCTTTTCCTCGCAGCTGTTTTCTCCTGGAATGATTTTAGTCCTCAAGAACGTTGTACAAGGAGGAAGGAAAAGTTGTCTAGTCAGATGACTATTTCTAGCAGTTCAACTCTTATTTAGAGTAAAGTAAATTTCTGATCCTGTAGTGGAGCATTGCTAATTTGACGGCAATTTTACACTCCCTTGGACAGTCTTTATCTATCCTTAATGCATCCTCTTTCATATAACCCTTAAAGGCAATACACAAGCTTAAACCTTTAGAAATCATGGAGTGGAAAAAGTCAGGGGAGGGAAGGAGATATCAGTTATTTGGGTGTGCCCAGAAAGATCTTTGTCCAGAAATGAAAGTGAACACCTGCTATGCTACAGTGGAAAAAGTATAAAAGTCTCCAACTACTATTCTTCTCTTTTTCAGGTGAACATAGCCTTTAAACAACCTGGAAAGAGGTTAGAGCACCAAGGAATTAGAATTGAATTTGTAGGACAAATTGGTGAGTTTTGAAGCTGCCAATGGGGTGTGGGTAGATGTGATTTATGGAACTTTACATTCATGACTGTCAGCACTCTGGCTCAGTCCTCATGACTACATCAGGATAGTGGTTAACAAGTGCTGAAGTAAGACAATGTCTGAGTCATTTTAACTCTGAAGTAATGTGCTACTTTTGCTGGTCAGAAATTGGAAAAAGCAGCAGTATTCTTCTTTCCCCTTTCACCAGTCTATTTAAGAGTTGATTTATGGGAAACCTGGAGAAACATTTTATGGCCAACCAGAGTGTGTGCTTGGCATTTACCCAACTTCTTGCCACACACGATCACTGCAGAACTGTGTTCACAATCTTAATCTGCATACTCAAAATGAAAACCTAGGGAAATTTAGACTTTTTTTAAACTGCAGGTGACAATCGCATGAAAAATAGCACCCAAAGATTAATCTCTTGCTTATTTCTCATGTCATATTTAGCATATCAAATGAAAATACCAAGCATGTGCCTGCTGTACAGGCCTGTATTACTTTTTTTTAGTCTTTAATCCTTGATTTAGAAGGAAAGGAGGTACAGGAAAAGAAGGGTGGTAATGGCCTATAATTACCTCTTTCTAGAAATAAATTTCTGGCCCTTCCAGTTTTCTAAAGTGTAGCTGTGTACTGTTACTGAACATAAAGTAAGGTGTTTTAAATATCTCAAAGTGCAGAGATCCTATAACATTGCATTAAACTGAACTTCATTTTTTTTTCATTCAGATTTAGAAACTAAAATTGTGAAGAACCTGCATCATTTGGTTAGGTTCAAAGGTCTATCAGTAGCTTCTCCCAAAAATACTTGAAATAGCCTCTCTGTACACCTTAGATTTATTATGAAATTCTGTATCTTCTGTTTACAATAGAGCCTCTCTGACTTATACAAAAAGTATTCTCGCTGCCACAGTAAATTTACTAGTAAATCATGAAGTAGTATAATTAATTAAAAGAATGTTGCAAAGTGTATTTTGTTCATTTGACAACTGTTTAATTTTAAACCTGCAAAAAACTGTAACTAACGTGTCTGTCACTTAAATACTGTTCTTTTGTATTTCTAACAAGCTGCTTTCATAATGCATTATTACTTGGGTTGTGGTATATTTAAATGTGAGCCTGCTTAGAGTAATGAGTTAATTTTTAATTCTCTGCTAGGGAGAATTAATTAAATTTGAATAAATTGTCAAATATTTTAACTCCTCGTGATAGTTATTAGCTGACCATATTTCTTTACAATTCTGAATCATAAAGAACATCTTACACGTAGAAATGGCTTTCCTGATAGGTTTTGCAAAGTTAAAAATGTGTTATGTGAAGACTGCGTGGCTCAAAGATATAGTAGTATATATCACAGTGAGCCCTGGTGTAAATGCATGCAACTCCATTAGTCGGTGTGTGCCTGTTTACAGCATGACAGAACTTGGACCTAAGTGACTGGTTTGAACTTACTTAGGTTGGTATTAATGACGATGTACATTAAATTGTTCTACCAATTTTTTTGTAACTTGTAGATTAATTGGTGGTGGCAGTCCTGTTCCAGATGTTGCTAATTGTCGTCTTTTAGCCTTTCTACTGTAACTACCAGAGACTAAGTGGACATGGAGACTTTATTACAGAATGTTGGAGTTAATTTATTTATGTATGGTATTACATAAATAATATGTATTTGATACTCCTTTAACCAGAAATTTCTTTATTAAATCCAGAGGCCTAATGGTCTTTGTACAATTGGTCTAAATAATAAGTAGTCTACTACATCTGAACAAGAACAACATTTGATCAAAATATGTACAGGGTAAATTCAGGAGTGCTTAGATCCATATTGGTTGGCTCCAACTTCAGGCAGGTATTAGCAGTGAACCATCTAAGCTTGTCTTTTTATACCCTTTAACAAACCAGTGATGTCATTGCCTGTTGCCAACTTAGCTAAAAACGGGTTTGGGTCATTACTGGTTCAACACACACAATTCTTTCTTGTTTTTAACGATCTCTGATAATTGAGGCATTTTCTTCTTATCATTTACCTTTCTGGTCTAGTTGTTTGCTGAATGTGTTTTAAATTCCACTGATCTGGAGGTGAATTTAATTACTGTCTTCTCCCCTTCACACGCCTCACTCCCACCAGTCAGTAGAACTAGAAAAAGAAGTTTCAAATGATGTTCGCTTCAACATTTGTAGTTGTGGTTTTTTTTTTTTTAATGAACTCTGACTTTTTGCTTCTCAATTTCAGAACTCTTCAATGATAAGAGCAATACTCATGAATTTGTAAACCTAGTGAAAGAACTAGCCTTACCAGGAGAACTGACACAAAGCAGAAGTTATGACTTTGAGTTTATGCAAGTTGAGAAGCCATACGAATCCTACATTGGTGCCAATGTCAGATTGAGGTATGAAAATATGCATTTAAATGGGCAGATCCTATGAAATTTGATACTCGAATCAGATATCCTGTTTGTTTATATGTAAAACAGGCTGAGTGTGCATTCAACAAAATAGTAATTCTGTCAAGTCTGTTTCCCATTAAATTGTAAACATAAAATTAACACTGTATTGCAGAACTAAAATTTGTATCTTTCTCCAAAACTCTGTACATGGAATTTAAGGATATTACTGTGCTCACACTCACAATGGCACTCTTTTCTAGATGGACAGTGAGACTCCCACCTAGAAAATGGGTTGGTATTTCATTCATTTCACCTGTTTATGAAGGCCAGCCCTTCTGTAAGGTGACATTTTCTCAAGTGCTGACTTTGATTCCAGTAGAACACATGAAGTGATATGCTTTTTCAGAGGACTTAAGGGGATAATTCTGGTAGCTGGCTCTTATCTCTTTGGAAGCATCAGGATCACATGGAGGTTTATCCCAAAGACCACTCAAGACATGTGCTGGTCTCCCAAGTCTCTGATACCAAAGCTTCCTGTGAATTCAAAAATATCTTCAGTTTTGTCATATAAACCCAGTTCTCTGTTGTAGGGGCTGTCAAGATGCTGTATGTCCCCTTTTTAAAATTGAAAGTTAACTTATGAATAAAATACACTTTCCTCAAGCACAGTGTTTTGATTATTTCGTGTTAACAAAGAGCATAAGGTAATAAAATAACATTTGACGTGCTACTTTGAAGAACACCAAGATAGAAAGTAGACTTGATGTCCATGAAGAAATCTTGTATTTGAGAACAAGGAGGATTTTTATTTATAGCACTCTGATTCTTGATATGTATCAACTAAGGGTGGTGATTAATCGCAGTTAACTCATGCAATTAACTAAAAAAATTAACTGCAATTAAAAAAATTAATCACTATTAATTGCACTGATAAATAATAGATTACCAATTGAAATTTTATTAAATATTTTTGAATGTTTTTCTACATTTTTCAAATATATTGATTTCTATTACAACTCAACACAAAGTGTACAGTACTGACTTAGTAGTTTTTATTACAAATATTAACACTGTAAAAAGATAGTATTTTTCAATTCACCTCATACAAGTACTGTAGTGCAATCTCTATTGTGAAAGTGTAATTTACAAATGTAGCTTTTTGTTTTGTTTTTGAGTGCAGTTATGTAACAATGTAAAACTTTAGAGCCTACAAGTCCACTCAGTCCTACTTCTTGTTCAGGCAATCACTAAGAGAAACAAATTTGTTTACATTTACGGGAGATACTGCTGCCTGCTTCTTGTTTACAGCGTCACCTGAAAGTGAGAACAGGCGTTCACATGGCACTTTTTTGTAGCTGGCATTGCAAGGTATTTACATGCCAGATCTGCTAAACATTCGTATGCCCCTTCATGCTTCAGCCACCATTCCCAAGGACATGCTTCCATGCTGCTGCTGATTGTTTAAAAGAAATAGTGTGTTAATTAGATTTGTGACTGAACTCCTTGGGGAAGAATTGTATGACTCCTGTTCTGTTTCACCTGCATTCTGCCATATGTTTCATGTTCTAGCAGTCTCGGATGATGACCCAGCACATGGTGTTTGATTAACTAACACTGTCACTGCAGATTTAACAAAATGCAAAGAAGGTATCAATGTGAGATTTCTAAAAATAGCTATGGCACTCGACCCAAGGTTTCAGTTTTTGGAAGGCACTTCAGATTCTTCGAAGGACGAGGAGTGGAGCATGCTTTCAGAAGTCTTAAAAGAGCAACATTTTGATGTGGAAACTACAGAACCCAAACCACCAAAAAAAGAAAATCAACCTTCTGCTGGTGGCATCTGACTCAGATGATGGAAATGAACATGCATCGGTCCACTCTGCTTAGGTTTGTTATCGAGCAGAACCCGTCATCAGCATGTCCTCTGGAATGGTAGTTGAAGCATTAAAAGACATATGAGTCTTTAGTGCATCTGGCATATAAATATCTTGCAATGCCAGTTACAACAGTGCTGTGCAAACACCTGTTTTCACTTTCAGGTGACGCTGTAAACAAGAAGTGGGCAGCATTATCTCCTGCAAATGTAACCAAACTCATTTGTCTGAGTGGCTGAAGTAGGACTGAGTGGACTTGTAGGCTCTAAAGTTTTACATTGTTTTATTTTTGAATGCGGTTATTTTCTTGTACATAATTCTACATTTGTAAGTTCAACTTTCATGATAAAGAGATTGCACTATAGTATTTATATTAAGTGAATTGAAATATACTTTTTTTTACAGTGAAAATATTTGTAATAAATCTAAAGTGAGCATTGTACACTCTGTATTCTGTGTTGAAATTGAAATCAATGTATTTGAAAATGTAGAAAACATCCAAAAATATTTTAAAAAATGGTATTCTGTTATTGTTTAGCAGTGCGATTAATTGCGATTAATTTTTTTAATCGCTTGACAACTCTAGTATCAGCGTGACTAAAGGAAATGAGACTGGAGGCATGTGTTGCCGAGGCTTTGACTTGACTGGCTAGTAAGTAAAACAATGGATAAAATTCTGTAGAATGTTGGGTTTTAAAAGAAATGTCTAATTACTGAATATAAAATTACCCTCTTGTTAGTCTTATTTTGTTTTTTAGTTATTTAATTAGTGTTATCTTGGCAACTTTATCCATAAAAACAATATAATCTGCATAACTGAGTCTCGTTAACTTTACTGTTTACTTCGTAGGTATTTTCTTAAAGTGACAATAGTAAGACGACTGTCAGATTTGGTAAAAGAATATGATCTTATTGTTCACCAGCTTGCGACATACCCAGATGTTAACAACTCTATTAAAATGGAAGTAGGCATTGAAGACTGCCTGCATATAGAATTTGAATATAACAAGTCGAAGTAAGTATGACTCAGAACCTACACAAATAGAAGGACTCAGACTGATCAAGAAGAGAGAAACCTTTGATGTAATATAGATGACTTAAAAATGAGTTTATCGTAATGATTCTTGCATTATGAGCTTTTTTTTTTTTTTTTAAAGATCCTACAGGCTTGAAAACGAAATGATTGATCATAAAGGCAAAGATTTAATTTTCAGAGTAGTTGCCAAGTGCCATTTTCAGTGCTTAACGTTCAGTCTCCTGCAAACTTGCTAGTGACTTTTTGATTTAGCTCCTGCAATCATACTATTTGGATGACTGTAGTGCATTCTCAGTTGGAATCTGTAATGGTAGCGATGTTCTAGCCTCACTTGAGTGGTTGGGAAACCCACCTTAGCAGAAAGGCACTGTTCAGTTCAGTTTCAGCAATAAAAATGATGTACCTGTATATTTTTTTTCTTAAACTCTAGCTAAAATTATGTGTATTAGGTAAGCCTTTAACTGAAAGCCATGTTTATTCTCCTAAAGGTATCACTTAAAGGATGTGATTGTTGGAAAAATTTATTTCCTCTTAGTAAGAATAAAAATTCAGCACATGGAGTTGCAGCTGATCAAAAAGGAGATCACTGGAATTGGTAAGATGAGCAAAAAAGGAAGAATTCAAATATGAGCTAGTAATCTGTGTATCATAGAGTTGATGCAAACCTAATAGTAAGAAGTTAGTCAAAGATATATTTTGGTTCATCAGACATTTTAATGGGGTTTCTGTTCATCTGGGGTTCAGAATCAAATTTGATATCTAGTATAAAAGTAGCTAGATCTTGTAGTAGACATCTACTTCATACTTTAGGATTCAAAGCTTGCTTTTGGGTTGGAGAGCTCATCCTAGATCACTTTAAATTTACAGGCTATTTACAGAACGCTTGATACTCAAACTAAAAATATGCATGAGTTTGGTTATTCACTTCAGTCTAGTATCTGAAATTAGTGGACTTTTATTTTTAAACAGTTGAGGAGGGTGGTCATGTTCTTTGAATAGCAGATAATTGTGAAGACAGAGTAAAGATTTCAAAAATGCTTAAGTCCCATTAACTTCATTATGGTTCACTAGTAACTCTTGAAAATGGGACTTACAAGCCTACATTACTTAGACATTTTTGAAAATGTTATCCATCATCTACATTTCTCCCCCCCCCCCCCTTATTAAAGGAGATATATATGGAAAACATTGTCTTAAAAGAACTAGAAGGCTTCATATAAAAACAAAGGAAGACCTAACTTTACAAATATCAGTGTTAGGTTTGGTCTTTCCTGTTTTTTGCTGAACGATGATTTGGAGGTCTGGGATGTTTGAATGCTCATACTTCAACTGAAGAGGTAGTGATGCTGCATCTTTAACAGACATCCTATATTTGAGTGTCCATTAGTCATTGGAATTAAAGAAGTGTTATTAAAAGCAAACTAAAAACAGTTTTTGTGATGCCAGAATTTTACAAGCTCTTCAGTCACCTTACAGTTTTCCAGGGTAGACAAGACATGAATTTGTAACATGGAAAAGAAGCAGAAAAGTTTTTCCTTAAAACTTAAGCTGCTTTAATACATCAGAGAGGGTGCAAATCATTTCTTTTCCTTTACAAGTCAATCTTTACACCTTTAAGCGCCACACTTTCGCTAAACACCTCATGATTCATGGGCTTGTTACAGAGCTACTCGATCCCTCAAATAAACAAGTAGATTACTGTTGATAGTACTATGTCCATTTCACAAAATCAGCATACAATTTGGTACAATAAGTTTTAACTCAAAGGCGGTTTAAAGCAGGAGTAGGTGGATGATTGCAGATAAAGCTTCCAAAGCATTTACCCATACTATATGTAGCTCTACCTAGTATTTTTTATCACTTATGAATATAAACACTATTGGAAGTTGAGAGTTTTTTCTTAATATACACAATCTTTCTTAGAAGACATACAAAGGGAAACCAAAGGGTTTGTGTCAATTAAAGTGAAAACACTGTTCTTGGGCAGGAATTGCCATAAGACTATTGTTTGGAGTCCTGTAGTTTCACTGAAAAAGCATATCAAGTAAATGTTCCAAAATATCTCTCATCAACACCTTGCACTTTTTTTAAACCAGGGCCCAGTACCACAACAGAGACGGAAACCATTGCTAAGTATGAAATAATGGATGGTGCACCTGTCAAAGGTAAATAATTGCACTTGAACTTTAGAGAGCATTCTAGTATAAAAATTATAACTGGTTTTTAAGACTAGTTTGCTTCTATATAGACAGGAATTGGTTGTCTTGAAAAACTAAATTTTTCTTTGGGTTGTAAAAGTGGTACAAGTAAGTAAGGTAGAATGCCCAAAGCTGCAAGTGGCAATAGTGATTACTTAACCTAGAGATACGGTTCTAATTATGAAATTTGTTTGAAGTTGAATCCTTTACTAATCCTAGTCACCCCCACCAATACCTGTGATCTGATTTGGGATTCCAGTTCAAGCCCATCTCTACTACATTAATAGCTCACTATATAGGAGGAAGTGAAGAATGTTTTTCCTAAAAAGTGGGAGGACAGTCCTTCTTTTCTCTCATTTTGCTGCCACGTGTTCCCCTTCTTTACTAGTGTTTTTAAGTACTTCCATCTCTGATCTCTACCATATTTGCCTCTTTGGAAGCAGACTCTTCAGCAAGCTTCTGAGCACAAGCCATCTGGTGCCTACTGTCAGGACATGCAGCTGTTATAAGGCAGCAGTTCTCAACCAGGGGTACACAGAGGTCTTCCAGGGGGTACATCAACTCACCTAGATATTTGCCTAGTTTTACAACAGGCTACATAATAAGCAGAAGTGAAGTCAGTATAAACTAAAATTTCATACAATGACTTGTTTATACTGCTCTATATACTGTGTACTGAAATGTAAGTACTATATTTATATTCCAATTGACTTACTTTATAAGATGAAAAAGTAAAAATGAGAAAGTAAGCAATTTTTCAGTATAACGGTGCTGTGACAATTTTTTTGTATTTTAATGTCTGATTTTGTAAATAGTCTTTTAGTTGAGGTGAAACTTGGGGTACGCAAGACAAATCAGACATGCAGTAGTCTGGAAAGGTTGAGAACCACTGCTCTAAGGGATCATGGATAGCAACTGTGCTGTGAATATTTGGGTGCCTCTAAATTACAATAACTCACTGGGTGGAAAAGATATTATTCTTTAGGCCTGGTCTAAACATGAAAGTTACACCAATTTAGGTAATGGTGTAGTTTAACTAAAATAAGTTTAAAAGTTGGTGCAGCTTTGTTGGGCAAACTAAAATAAGTCAGGTTAAACAGACATGGACACACTTATCTGTTGAAAACTGGTTGCCCCTAAAGGGCAAGCTATGCTGATATATCTGTTTTTTAAAACTGGTTAGAAGTGTGCCCACATAGGGATTTAACTAAACTGGTGCAAGTTTGCTTGTGTAGTCAAGCCCCTAGAAAGTTCCTTTCCCCTTCTGAGCTATTGTAGCAAATACCTTGAAGGCACTCCAAGACTTGGTTCACCCCATCAGTGGGGCAGATTCTGGAACAATTAGCAGTCCTAAAGGAAGAGGCTGGCTGCTAATGACTCTCAAGCTTGCTTCCAGATGAGAGTTTAGGGATGGATGTGGTAAATAAAGGTAGAGGAAAAGAAGGATCACAAGACTTAAAGCTCCTTAAGAAAAATCAGTGGGAGAAAGAGAAGGAAGTAGGCAGGGAGGGTTCTGGTTTGTGGTGGGGAGGAGGTACGGGTATGCAAGCTGCCAGTCACACTTGAATGGTGACAGAACTCCCTTGAGCAACTACTTTAGTATCCTGAGACAAGACTGAACAGCAAGATTAAATCACCCTTTCTGGTGACAGAGCTATCTGAAGGTTGTGTTGCAAAAACTCCAACTAGAATTTGGATCCTGTAGATCCAAATCAGTCTGATTCGGGCATGGCTGAAGAACAGTGACTGATCAATAGTGGTCTGATCTGGTTTTGAGTGAAAATAGTGTTCTTATTGACTTTGAGCTAGTATTAGCATTTTCTACAATAGCTCTGACAACAAGTTTTAGATTATTTTAGTAATTTAGCGATGAGAGGTCCCAGGAAAGGGTTATGCTAGGTGACCGTTCATATTTGGCACTGACTTCTTATTTAATTATAGAATTGGCCTTCAAGGTCTTGGTCCTTTAAAGCCCTGAATGGTCTGGAACCCGGTTAGGTGAAATAGCCTCTCACCTATGCCATCTTCTGGCACATCATTGACTTAAAGGCTCTTGTAAACTTCAGGACCTGTGTTGGGTTTCCCAGATGAGGGCCTGTGCCTTTTAGAATCTGAAGGGTGCTTGGGTAGAAGACTTATCCATTTTGTGGAATGTATTTTAACTATAGTTCTCTCAGATGAAACTAACTCTAACTTTTCTTTCCTCTTCAAGGTGAATCAATTCCTATAAGACTTTTCTTAGCAGGCTATGATCCAACTCCTACAATGAGGGATGTGAACAAAAAATTTTCAGTGAGATATTTTTTGAATCTAGTGCTTGTGGATGAAGAAGACAGACGGTACTTCAAACAACAGGTATGGTGTTGTACAGGCTGGAGCCTTGTGGCAGGATGGCTTTTGTTGTGAACAGTCTGTTTTTTGTTTTTAACTTTTCATATTTGGAAACTGAACAAGTAAATTCCATGCTACAAATAGAAATGTGAAAGACTTACTTTTCTCCTATTTGCTGTATTGAATAGCAAGCGCACAAAACTTAATTTGCAAGTGAGGAGGAAGAAGGGGATGATCAACACTATTTTAGCAAAGATGAGGTATTGGTGTGGTATAAAATGCAAGAAAGGAGTGATTGATGCCCCAGGAAACTTAAAATCTAAATAGCCAGACAAAACAACACTGATAGAAATTGCTGTGTCTAAAAAGGAAATTATTGGAGCTTTTTTTTTTTTTTTTTAACGTGAGTGGGTTAATGCTGGATGAAGAAACAGAAGGAATTTGATTTGGTTCCTGGCATAAGAGAGTACAAATGTAAAGGATCTAGAGGGCAGGGTGGATACTTTGTTACCATAAGAGGAAATATGGATAGGAACAAAACTGAAAACATGTAAACAGGGCCTTAAAGTATGAATAAGAAGCTTGAATTTAATGCAGAAAGTAAGAGGAAGCCAGGTGGATTAGAAGAAGGGAGTGGCCTGATTCAGATTTTGGGCAAGAAATATTATTTATCTTTCTTTTGTTTGACAGCACAGAACGGGAGCAAAGTGAGCATTGGAGTAGCCAGAGAGGCAGTGACTAACTAGGAGAGAGCACAAGACACCTGGATATACAATTTTAATTTATAAACTGAATTGATCGTGTTCTCAAATCTATCTGTACCTAACTTATAGAAATATAGCTTATTATAGAACTGAAATAGTCATGCAAAGTATTTTGGAAACCTTGCATCAATAGAAACTTATGATTAATTTTGACGTTATGGGGTTAATAGTTGACCAGACATAACACTATACTAAATGAGCATTTGCTTCCCCTAAATAGGAAATAATTCTTTGGAGAAAAGCTCCTGAGAAACTGAGGAAACCACGGACAAATTTTCACCAGCGGTTTGAATCTCCAGAACCACAAGCATCTGCTGAGCAACCTGAAATGTGAACTAGTATAGGAGGTGAAAAAACTATTGTGACACTTCAGCAGGTTAAAGATGGCAGCAGCCTGTAGGAAAAGAGAAGACAAAAACTCACATTACAACTGTCTTCCTTCGTCTTACAGTGTTGCATTTACCATATTACTAAAACATTCGTCAAGTAAACATTCAAGTGTGTATATACATTTAAAATAAAGTGCTTTCTCAAACACTGGAACTTTCTTAAGCTACTATTTTATACTGCACATTTTACTTTTATTTGATAATGTTATGCACTTGATATGCATAAAACTTAAACAAATCTAGTTATATATTTCCATGCATGTAGGCTTGTATATTTATTTTTTTGCTAATCACCTATGATATGTAGATTAAAGCATTTCTCCCCCTTCATGTCATTTATCGCATGCATACCTCCAGTGCTGCTTATCTGCACTGGTTTTGAAACCAACAGATAAGTATACTATACACTAAAAATCAGGGTTTATGGTGGATCTTTTTGTCTTAAGAATAATTAAGTCTCATTCTAGACGTGTAAGCATATTTAACACTTTATAAACCACATACATATACATACCACAAACTTGCTGTACCTGTTTGGAGTCTTCTAAGACCATACCATGGTTCTCAGAGGCTTTGAATCTTGTATTTTTCACAAGAATATTCACAAACAAATTTGTTCCCAAGATGATCCTTTTAGATGTGTGGTGGCTCTTTACAATTCACTCTAACCATATTTGTTTTTACTTAAGTCTAATGTTTTCTAGTAACTGTAGAATTCGCACTTCTCCCACCCATTGCTGTTTTACTTTAACTGAGATGATTCGCGGGGATGGAAATGTTTTAACATAGCTGACTCTTTAATGATTAAACTGAGACCTAGTGTTTGTTCTTGAAATCAACTTTTTACATGCACAATATTTACTCATCTCCTCTTGGATTCACAAACCTACTCTCCTCTTTACAGCTTGCTCCCTTGCCATCCTGGGGGAGGAGGAAAAATGACAGCCTCTCAGAAGAACATACTTATTCTCGTCCATCTAGGCCTATAATTGGGTGGGAGACAAACTTTTTTTTAAAAAAGATATTTTTTAAACTAGCTGAGTTTGAAAAGTGTTGAGAAATTTGTCTAGGAAAACAGAATACTTTTGTCTTACTCCTCTCTTGTGTGAGTTTAGAGTCTTTGAACAAATTACTTAAACAAGTTAGCCTCCATTTGTTCACAATTAATCATGTAGTCTGTCATCAGACATATGTGTGGATTGGACACAAAATGAACTGTGCTGTGTGGAAGGCTACTTGCGCTTGTATTTCACTTGGACTATAAACAAGACACTCTCTTTCTAAACTTCAGTGCAGGCGTCCTTGGTTTACCTTACTTTGAGTAAGCAAAATAATTGAATTACACTTCTGTAAAATGTTTTACTACTATGGCACTTTGATAAAGCAGACAAAGATTCTATGTACTATATACTGGGGTATTTCTCTTAAATGTGGATATCTGAGTGCAAATTTAACTCCCTCATGTAAGTGCCTGTTCAGAATTTTTTTTAAAAATATGCCAAATATTTTCATGATCACTTGCATGTTGTAATCTGGAAACTATTCCAAGAGACTTTGAAAACAGATTGTATTTAACCAGCCTCAGATTGTGCAACCATGTATAATAAACAAGAAACGCACTGAGCCTCTATTTGAGTTATTAAAATAGCTGTATTCTCACTAAAACATGTGGATTGTCTTTAATTGGAATGTACATTGTACTGAAAATAACATTTGCAATGGATATGAATGTATTTTGAGGATGGAAAAACCTGGGTTAATAGATATCTTAGGAAATTTGTATAGTATATAGAATCTTAAATAATTTATAGTTAATAGTCTCAATTCATCCCATGTCGGTGAGAAAATCCATCCCCACCTGAGACTTATTCAGAGTCACTTATGAAATGAGCCAGTAGGCTTAGTTCACTTCATAGTGTTTTTACTTTTGGCAGGCTTTTCAGAGAAGCCAAGGATTGTGACAGTTTCGTCAGCATGATTGGTCTCTTCGGGGCGAGAGTAGTTTCTCAGCCTGGTTTTGGACATATTTTGGGGCAATATGTGAAAGCTCACACAACTGATGTACTGGTTCCAATTTTTATTGAGACTTCAGGTTTTTGGGTGGGTGGGTTTTTTTAATACATCCAAACAGTTGGTTACATTGAGTTAAGCATATGTGACATATACTCTTCCTATGTTAGTCAGAAATTCTGTGCATGCATAAGTCAAATATCTGAATGAAGATGTCAAACTTTTTTTTTTAAGTTCTTAGTTTTAAGGAATAAATGAAGTTCAAAATTAAGAAAATTGATCAACTAAAGATTTAAACATTTAAAGTTGAAGACTTAGTTTATTAAATTAGCTCAAGACTGGTCTAGAAGCATGAAGTTATCTTATGTTCCAGGGTGCTCTAGCTTTGATTTTAACACAGGGCTCTATCAGACTATATTCCCAATGTTTACTGTCCCAAGTCTTGTCTTGGATCATAAAATCTTTTTGGCACAAGGGCCCTGTCTTTAGATTTGCATGGCATTTGACAAATGAATGCTGTATAAACTAGTATAACAGAACCATCTAGTTACTCTTAATGATTGCTTTGCTTTTTCAGGGTTAAAAGTCTGAACGGAACTCAGTAACCATATCCTTTTTAAACTTGTACCTAGTATGATGTATAAATATCACTGATGTATCCTGTCTTCTGTGCCTTTCTTAAGCTGGAAACCCCTATCTTTTCTTCTAAATAATTCAAAGCCCAACTTATTAGTTAACGTGCCATCTTTATACATCAGCAGTTTCATTTATTATATTTCTAACCTCTCAACAAAAATTGTTCAATTTATTAGAGCCTTGATCTTCCACCCACTCTTGCTAAATACTAATTTCTCTGAAGTATACTAGATACCATTCAAAAGAGAACATACAATATTTTCTTCCTAGAGTAAGTAGCAACTTTTTAACTAAATTAATTTATTTGTTGCCTAATCATCAGGACAGGACCTCCTGCCCCCAGTTCCCCACTATCGATATCTAGCTGCATACAGGTAGGCTTTGTTAGAATAAAGTGGTATGTAAGAAAGGTGTGTCTTTATCAAACAAGGTTCAAGGGGTGTCTTTGTAGCAATGTATTCTAGGAAAGTGGAATGGAACAGATACATGTGCTCGTGCGCAGAGACTTGCTGGAGTGCTGTAATTACAAGATTATGCTAACCGGGGGGGGCTGTTACCAAGACACTGACTAATAGGAGTGCGAGACTTAGCTGGTTTCTAAATATTGCTTTCTTTAAAATCTTGGACTTAAGTTACCCCAATAACTGGTTTAGCAGCTGATCTTGGAAAGTAAAGGAATTAACTTTCTAAATCTTAGAGGATGGGAGGGGTAAAGTTTATTTGGCTAAAGTACTTGGCTATAGGCTAGGCATATGCCTGTTGCCAAAAAGTGCTGCTAGCTTGCTGAGTTGGGCAAAGCCTAGTGACTATGAGGAGTAGCAGGAACGGTATAGGGGAATGGGGGGGGGGGGGGGGGGAAACAGGTTACAGCCTTCATCTGCCTCTGACAAACTGACAATATTCTGAACAAACCTTATTAGAATTAAACTTTACTGAATTGTTAGACCTTATTGCATGAGAGTTAATATCTTTGAGGTACTTGTATTAAAAATGCAATTATGTACATGTGAAAATAACATAAGAATGGCCATTTTGGGTAAGACCAATTGTTCATCTAGCTCAATATCCTGTCTTCTAATAGTGGCCTACGTCAGGTGCTTCCAAGGGAACGAACAGAACAAGGCAATTATCAAGTGGTCCATTCCCTGTTGTCTGGTCCCAGCATTGGGCAAAGGCTTAAGGACATCCAGAGGATGGAGTTGCATCCCTAACCATATTGGCTAATAGCCATTGGTGGATCTATCCTCCAGGAACGTATCTAATTATTTTTTGAACGCTGTTATGCTTTTGGCCTTCACAACATCCCCGGCAATGAATTCCACAGGTTGACTGTGCATGGTGTGAAGAAGTACTTCCTTTTTGTTTGTTTTAAACCAGCTGCTTATTTATTTCATTGGATGACCCCCTAATTTTTATGTGAAAGGGTAAATAGTTTTTCTGCACATGCTTCATGCGTTTGTCAAGCTGTGAGTTTGTCACTGAAGTCATGGATTCCATGACTTGCTGTGACCTCCGCGACTTCTACTGGGGCTGGTGCAGCTGGCTCCGGTGCTGCTCGAGCAGCTAAGGTGGCCCCAGGCCAGTTGCACTGGCTGCTGCTTGGGTGGGGGGCTCAGAGCTGGGGGTTGGGGCATAGGAGGGGCAATGCTTACCTTGGGGGGGCTCCCTAGAAGCTGCAACATGTCCCTCCCTCAGCTCCACGCGCTGCCTCCGTTGGCAGTGAGCGGAGCTAGGAGCCAAGGGAGGGATATGTCACCACTTTCCAGGAATCTACCAAACCCCCTACCCCCAGCACCAGCTTGGGACCCAGGCTGCACTCATGGTGCTCTCCGGACTGCTCCCCTGAGCACACACGGCACTGTCCCTCCAGCACTTGCATCCTTCCCATATGCATCTGCGGCACCCCCCAGGCTGCCCCCCCAGCACTCGTTTCCCCCAAGCTGCCTCCCCAGCATCCCCCATGCACCTGTGGCACCCCTGGGTTGCTCGCCCCCCCCCCCCAGCATTCACAGCACCCCCTGAGCTACACTCTCTCCCCAGCACCCACGGCACTCCTAGTATTTAGTCAGGGATATAGTACAAGACATGGACAGGTCCGGGGCCGTGAATTTGTTTACTACCCATGACGGTGTCCATGACTTTTACTAAAAATACCTGTGACTAAAATGTAGCCTTATCCATGATTTTATAGATTGCTATCATTTCTTCCTTAATTGTCTCTTTTCTAAGGTGAACAGTCTTTTTAATCTTTCCTCATATGGAAGCTGTTCCATACCCTTAATCATTGTTGTTGTCCTCCTTTTCCAATATATCTTTTATTGAGATGGGATGACTAGACCTGCACGCAATATTCAAGATGTGGGTATACTATGGATTTATATAGTGGTATTCTATTTACTGTCCTAGCATCTATCCCTTTCCTAATGATTCCTAACATTGTTAGCTATTTTTTGACTGCCATTGCACGTTGAGTGGATGTTTTCAGAGAACAGTCCACAGTGACTCCAATATCTCTTTCTTGAGTGGTAAGAGCTAATTTAGATGCCATCATTTTGTATGTGTAGTTGGGATTGTTTTCCAAAATGCACTACTTTTCATTTATCAACAATGAATTTCATCTGCCATCTTGTTGCCCAGTTCAGCCAGTTTTGTGAAATGTTTTTTTAATTCTTCACAATCTGCTTTGGACTCAACTATCTTAAATAATTTTGTATCCCCTGCAAACTTTGCCACCTCATTGTTTACTCCTTTTTCCAGATAATTTATATGTTGAACAGCACTGGTCCCAGAACAAATCCCTGGGGGAACATTCCTATTTACCTCTCTGCCTTCGGAAAACTGACCATTTTTTCCTTCCTTTGTTTCTTTTTTTTTTTTTTAAAAACCAGTTACTGATCCATGAGAGGACCTACCATCATGTCCCATGATTCTTTATTTTATTTAAGAGCCTGTGGTGAGGGAGCCTTGTCAAAGGCTTTCTGAAAATCCAAGTACACTAGATCTTACTGGCTCACCCTTGTCCACATGTTTGTTGATCCCATCAAAGAATACTAATCGATCGGTGAGGCATGATTTCCTTTTACAGAAGCCATGTTGACTCTTCCCCAACAAATCATGTTCATGTATGTATCTGTAATTTCATTCTTTACTATACAGTAGAACCTCAGAATTATGAACATCTTAGGAATGGAAGTTCGTAATTGAAATGTTCGTAACTCAGAACAAAATGTTACGACTTTCAAAAGTTTACAACTGAACATTGATGTAATACAGCTTTGAAACTTTACTATGCAGAAGAAAAATGCCTTTTTTTTTTAGTAATTTAACACAGTACTGTACTATATTTGCCTCCCTCCCGCCCCCAATCGCTGCTGCTGCCTGATTGTGTACTTCTGATTCCAAATGAGGTGTGTGGTTGACTGGTCTGTTTGTAGCTCTGAGGTTCTGTAGCTGAAATTTACCTGGAACTGAAGTTAGGCTTACTGGCCTGTAATTGCCAAGCTTGCCTCTGGAGCCTTTTTATGCATCCGAAGAAGTGGGTTGTAGCCCACGAAAGCTTAGAGACTAACAAATTTATTAGAGTATAAGGTGCCACAAGTACTCCTGGTCTTTTTGAGGATACAGACTAACACGGCTGCTACCCTGAAACCTTTAAAAAATTTGGCATCACAGTAGCTATTCTCCAGTCATCTGGTACAAAAGCTGATTTAAGTGATAGGTTACATACTGCAGTTCTGCAATTTCATATAGGAGTTCCTTCAGAACTCCTGGATGAATACCATCTGCTCCTGGTGACTTATTACTGTTTAATTTATTAATTTGTTTCCAAACCTCCTCTACTGCCATCTCAATCTGGGATGGTTCCTCACATTTGTCAACTAATATACCTAATAGAGAGAGGTGGTGCTAATGATTTTCTTTCATTATTGGCCTCTGAAGCCACCCCCCATGCAGAGATATGCTAATTCAAAGTGGATTCTCCAGAGACCAACAGACAAAAAAGCCTTTTGGAGAAAAGC